CGTCCAAATCACCAACTAAACTATGTAGTGGGCGGATCGTTTTTGGATCAAAGCGCTTTTCAGCTTGCTGCTCCGCAACCAGCGCCCCTTTGATAGTGAAAGCGCCACACCCAGAGTCAACCCTGCGTTGCGCAGTTCTCAACGGCCACGTTGCGCAGTTTCGCCCGATTAGACACGTTCTCTCGCGCGAACATTCACACTCGCATGCTCGAGCCGTCTGTGTCTCCGCCCATACAGCGTGCGTTGAGGATCTCTCAACGTGCCGTTGCGAACTGCGCAACGCAGGGTTGACTCTGGCCACACCTCGCTTCCTTAGCAGCCAAGTAACTGCCTTGTGTGTGTGCTTCATATGCTTTTCCGATTCGCTCCTTCTTTATCGTAATCGTTTCCTGTAAAACAACATTCCCAGCAGGGTCTATACTTTCGCCCCCCCCCCCCGAGGGAAAAAACTTTTCCCAAGGAATGGAGGGCAGTTGCAGGTTTTCAGTTGTGTTTTGTTTATGTTTTGTCAGGCAAGTTTGCACAACTCGTCCTGAGCACCCTTCCTTGATTCCTTGTTTAAAGCTTCATTGGCGGTTTCCTTTGGTTCTTTCTCCATCTGCGGTTAGCTCGATATCTACAACTCAATTGTCGACCGCTTTTACCCCGCGAACTAGATTTCGAATTTTTGCCCACAGCACACGTGATATCAACTTTTCATCGATAATTTATTCACCTTTGCCACATCGTGCATTTCGCTGTAGGGGAACAGAGTGTACTTTTTGATATACTCTTATCTTTTAGTGGGAGGATGGTCCAGAGGACAGGGCTACAGCTCTGTAGAACGCCTCGATCCTGGAGAAGCGGATCCTGTATGGCAGACAGTGACTCCCATGGCAATGCAAAGGCATGGCGGCATTTTTTCTTGTAGATTTTCATTGCGTATACTCTTGAAAAAGGTTTGTAGGGGTGGCGTTGTAGTTGCTGTTCTCGACAGTATGCTTTACGCTGTTGGCGGCAAAGATGGCGGCAGCTACCTGAACTTCAATGAGAGGTATATTTTTATATTATAATTATGCAAAGCTGAAATGGAAGTGATTGCCCATTCTTGGCTAGCAGGTGGTCAATGAGGGAGCACTTATTCCTACAATGAATTATCATATAGTCTGTAGAGCCATGATAAAAATTGCGTGCAGAATTGGTGTAATGCCAAGCTACGCTTCCTTCCCAAATGCGTGATCCAGTTGTCATATCCGGATTGAGTCCCGTACCGAGGCCAACAAAGTTTCCCGTTGATCGGGGCAGCGTTTTTTGTCGGTGGAGGTACTTATTAACTTCTAATTTGGATGCCCCCTCCCCCCCCCCCTGAACCACGATCCACTAGCATCTACATACCCTGCGATTCTGGACGGAAGTGGAATCTGCTCTCTAGAAAAGTTATTGATAAACGCTGTTTTATTTTTAGCCTTCATCTTTACTTTTGTGAATAGGAATCAATCGTGGGTGTATGCTTTAGTCAACATTTCAGATATGATCCTTCCACCAACCGATGGCTCTGTAACCTTGCGCCGACCTCCTCACCTAGAGATTCATTTGGTCTCGTCGCACTCGACGGCTCTCTTTATGCTGTGGGGGGCAGATATCATGATACTAGTTTGAACGTTGTTGAACGGTAAGCAGTGTTCTGGTCTACTTTCGCTTGTGTTAGTTTCTATATTTTTTGCAGCTACGACGTTCGACGAAATGAGTGGATCTATGTCGCTCCTATGGGTACGCGTCGGCATGGAGTTACTGTATCCGTGCTGAATGGCTTGCATATACGCCGTCGGCGGAGCCGATACAAATACAGTTCTAAATACCGTGGAGAGGCGAGTCGATGCTTATTTGGCGATTGCGATATGTGTAATGTAGGTAGGGATTTGTAGTTTGCGATGGCTGATTCATCAATAATTAAGTTTTACTATGAATGGCTT